AAGACCAATCAAAATTCTCTTTTCATACAACTAAGAACTGTAGAGCAGCCTCAAAGTGATGTTGGGGTATTTTCCTTAAATATATGAGAGGAAACGTGTCTAAAAAGTACAAAATATCTAATGAAACTTGGGAATGAACTCTGTTGTGATGTAAAATTAAAGTACACATTATTTCTCTACCTACTATTCTTTTTAGGGCATACTAGAAACATTGCTGTCTTTAGGGGGAATCAAGAAAAAAGGGCCTGGACAGTTATTCCTCGTGTTCGATCCCCAGCTCCTCCAGTTGCTCCCACTGCTTCGTCTGCAGCATATTAATGTGTATGAATGGGATTAGTTATTTCTGATGGTCACTTTAAAACCTCTGCCATCAGTGAATGTGTAGGTGAGACCTGCGGTATACAAGCGCTTTGAGTAGTCAGAAGACTAGAAAACCATTTAGATCAACATGATATGAATTAGCGCTTTACAAATAAAGATGATTTGATTGTTTGATGATCACTTCCACAACCAGGCTCATTTTTATATACAGCACTTACAGGTTTGTTCTCGTTGTTTTTATTCTTCTTTCGTACCTTTGCATGGCCGTTACTAGAAAGCTGACACTGTTACATCTCATATTTTCATCGCTTCATACACAAGAAGAAGGTTAATTTGGACGACCAAATAAAGAGTGCTTTTCAGTTTCTGCAGTCCAAACCATTCCCCCCCTCTTCTCTTTCCCACCATTAACTTAATTATTGTGAAGCTATGCCTACATTCATATTGTTGTCGCTAACGGCACACTGAAAACTCCTTTTCTCACCTCCTGCCAGACCTATACAACCCATCTGACAAATTGCATACCTAACTTAAACTAAGAAAGTGCTGGATTTTAACTCAATTGGAAAGAGTAGGGTGGGATTATCCACGTTGTTTGCTTAGAGGCGTTCATCCAGTGGTCACTTAAATCTCACACCTGCTGGGAGACAGAGATTTTACAGGTGAGCATCAGTGTGAACAGCCAATGGACAAATGATGTACTATCAGCTAAGCATTTTAAATGTTGTTGTTTTAGCAGAAAACACAATATTTAGAGTTGTATGAGGGCATGTGGCTTGGGGAAGAATCATGTATTCCCAACCTCTGGTGAGCAGAGCTTAATCAGATCCATGATTTAACAATTTAGGCCTTTAAGCAAAGTACTTTCAGTATTAACTTAAAAAAACAACGTACTTTATCATATAAAACTTCTTATACCAATTTGTGTTTGTATCAGACTGAGGTACCAATCCTTTTGAACAAACGGTCAAATTTCCAGTTAGCTAGCAAGCTAAACGTGTTGCCTTTGCTAGATTTAACAGCGTTCCTCTCTTCATAATAATTCTTAAATAGAATTAAAAATTAAATAAAAACATAATGTAAGTGTGGGGAAAACAGCACAACACAGGTAAACTAGGGAGAAGTCCTGGGAGGTATTGTGACTGCTTGGTGCTAGCATGTTCCTGGCTAGCTAGTGTGGTAGCAATTATCTTAGTAGATGCAATCCGCCAGCTGTGTAACTTTCTTGCGTGACTTCACTTTAAGACATACAGCTGATTTTTATGAGCTCTTTGGCGCCGTATGAACTAGCGGTTAGGTCTCACTTCATGTTCCACAAAGTGGGCGGCCTGGGCTCAAGTCCAACTGAAGCTCCAGCGCTCTCTTCTGATTTCCTGCTCTAGCCACTGTCCAATCAATTAAAGGCATAGAAGAAAGACAACAGATAGGAATAAAATAGCAACCTCCATTATACAACAATTTGAACCCAACATCCTTCAAAATAAGCAGGTTTACGTAAAGATTTCTAACACAAATTGGAAAAGTACTTTCTGTTTCGTCGGCTAGAAATCAGCCTGTCTGACCTCAAATACAAACAGCTTAGTAAACTGACTAAGGCAGGTATCTATAGGAGATTAACACAGCCTTTCACACTTCACTCTCACCGCCTTTCTGTCTTTGCCAAACACTCTTTGGGTCGAGTTACACACCTGTCGCTTTGCCGGGGCAACAGTGATACCTGCCACTCAGCGGGAAGGATTGGGCTGAATTTCCTGTCTGGTGTTCCTTTTCTTGTTCTGGGGAACTTGAGCAGCAAAGCTGAGCGGACGGCCATTAAGAGGGAGGAAGTTGAAGATTGCACTATGAAAGAAAAGGTTGGAGGACAGCTGGCTATTACCTTCATGCATGTCATACTATAAGCAGGGTAGACACTACAAGATAATCAAACAGATTCTCCTCTTTCTGACAAAAATTACCAACTTCAAAGTCCCATTTTGATAGTTCTTAAAATTATCTTGCCACATTTTCCTGCTATGTGATGCGTGTAAAGAGTGATATAACTTTCCCTGATATGTTCGGAAATGTGTTGTGTCCACTCATTTCAATTTGTACATTTTAACCATGTTCCATATTTACGATCTGATAACCTGTTGGGGAGAGGAACACAGAGTACAGCGAGCACACACTGGGTTGTGGATTGTCACACGGTACAAAACAAAAGCCAATAATAGGAATTCTTTTTTCTCTGTGAATGTTTTAAATAAAAAGTAGTTCAAAAACTAGCATTGCCCGTCTTCCGCCATGTTGATTTCCTCTAAATTTGTGTTTGACCGTGAGAGGTCTTGCAGGAATTCAAGGGTTTGGGAGTCAGTACTCTTGGTTTTTCATGAATAATATTTGTCCATTTGTCCTAGGCTATTTGTTTTATACCTTGCTCCACACACTATAGAAACAAACTGGTGAATCTATCATTATTTGCCGTCATATGGGGTCTATCGCATTGGGCCAGGCTTTACAGATCAGCATTCAAATACACACACACACTGGTACACAATCAGGCAAAATGTATGAATCAAAACAGAATTGACCTAAAATGGTTTGCATAAAACCTATAAACATCAACTATTGTGTGGATTACTTATGTAAAAAAATAGTTTAAAAAAGCAGAAGGTTCAGAGAAAGCTAAAGCAGTTTCAAAACCCCCTTCATAGTCAAACACAACCACACAAGGATATTTGCGCACATATACTGCATATCAGCTATTAAAGAAGCAAGTAAACACTTGATTCCACACATACATACACGTCCGTGCACGCGCCCGCCTACACATATACTGTTTAATCTACTTAATTGAACCTGACTTTGAATAACTAAACAAATGAGGAAATTCACAAGGGGCACTTGATCCTTTCTCGGCTAATGGATTGGAGATTCCTTTCCCATCGGGCCGTTTGGGCAAACAAGAGCCAGTAATCTCTGAATTGATGAGTTGACTCTCTGTCTGCATCAAATTTCTCCACTAAAGAGCTGTTGAACCCCTGATGTGTTGGTAGTTAGCCAGAGACTCAATTTGCAAACTGAAGGCTCGCTCAGGTTTCACTATCAGCAGTGTTGCACGCTATAGATGAGATAAGGTAAATACATAGGATCGATGCTGCATTGAAGATATTCATTACACTTAAAATGATGACCTGGTTTAATGGCTTCATTTGTACTCAAGAAGACTTTAAATGTTTGCAAAAACGATTATCAGATTTTCTTAATATATGTTTAAAACTTAATTTTAATTATTTAAATCTAGACAAAGAAAAAGCTACTGCAGGGCATGCAACATATTTCCTAAAGAGCTCATGGTGCCCTTATACCTGTCTTTAAAGTTGTCGTCCGAGAATGTAGGACGGCTTATTATTACAAAAAGAAACACATGAAGCACATGGCTTTTCCTGAAAACTTAATCTATAGTTTCCTGTTCTTGAAGAAATATATTTAATGTAACTCAGAGATCCTAAAAGATGGCGTAACTCGCATACAAAGCCAACAAGGTCCTGGATCACTCAATCTGAACATTTGACTCTCACATACGTTTCAATTATGTTGAGCAATGCTAAAGTCTCCAAAAGTAGTACGGGAGGTAGAGCCTTCCATTATCATGCCAAGGAATGATCCTAGCGACGTGTTTCCCAGTCAGTTTAACAGAAATTACATTTCAGACTAGTCTAAATGTAAGAAAACACTCAAAAACAGTCCAAATCAAGCATAATTTTTTGAAGTTAAGGGAATGCATATCTTGTGAAGTTATTGCCTTGACGGGCTGTGTTATCTTTTTATAGCAGGATCACGGAGTCATGAAACAATGTCAAGTGTCTAACGTTAAGAGTACGAGCACCACCAGCCTTCTGTCCTTCTTGCAGGTTAACATCCACATGCCTATGCTGAATATGATTACACATTGCTCTAATTAATTTGCCATTTTAACCTGTCACAGCCTGCATACAATTTTTTTTTAAATGTTCGAGATCAAACTACTGCCAAACCACTCAGCACTGCAAGATGCCATGCTGGTTTAGATCCGGGCAGTACTGTGGAGACAGCATGCAGAGCGGTGGTGTTTGTCTGCATCACAGCTTAAGACACAAAATTTGACTTGAGGCTTGGACCGGTCCATAGTGTTGCTGCTATAGGCTTAGACTACTGAGGAGTTGATAGATTGAGGTCCTGTCTCTTTCAGGAGGTTTTGTGTTCCCTTATGTCACATTTCTTCTTATATTATTGGCAATGCAACAGCACTTAAAGTCTGTATTTTCTGTTGTACCTTCTCTTCTATTTCACTGTTTTGGCCCACTAGTTCGAGACAGATGTCTGTTGGTTTTGCTCAAGGTTTCTGTCTGTTTAAAAAAGGGTATTTTCTTGCCACTGTTGCCAAGTGCTTGCTTATGGTGGATAAATGTTGGATCTCTTAAATAACATAACAAAAAGTCTAGTCTAGGCCTGCTCTTTTCTTAAGTCTTATGAGATCATTTTTGTTACAATTTGGTGCTATATCCATGACAAATATCCAATCAATCCATTTTTAATCTTGTGTGCACATTGTTGTCGTCCAACCAAAAAGCATAGAACCCCATTTTGATTTAGGTGACAAATTTATTAAAGTCCTGTTTTTTGAATCAGGAATCATCATCATCATAACCAGAAGGAATAAATAAGACATAAAACATTTTCCACATAAACAAACATATACAATCACAACCCCCCGAATGCTACAGCTCATTCTTCCTCCGAGGTTGTTTTTTTTAGGCAGAACAAAACGAACGAGATACATCTGAGAAACACACAAATGCATAGAAGTAATTGGACCCCTAGGTACCATGTAAGACAACATCTACATTTATGCCTATATCCCTGTTTTAGAATGTACAAAGTCCTCGTATCTGGGTTTCTTCTTCGTGTCCAAGAAGGGATTTGTATAAAAATAAAGTCTCCACAATGATAAACCATTATATTTATATATATATAGACATTTGGCAACAACCAGACATTTGAAGAACTCAATTCTGCACCTGAACACAGTGTAGAAAAAAAAAAAAAAGCTAATGAGAATAAAGAGCGGGAGTTGGTGGAAACCCAAAAAGTCAATGTCCAAAACATCCTGGATCTCAGGTCAGTCTCTACAATGTCCTGAAAAAGTGTTTAAAATTAAATAATTGGACGGATTTCTTGCTTTAAACAAGATTTTACAACCTAATGACTATTGTAAGGCCAAGTGCTTTAAATAACGGACAATCTCTCCATTCAGATCACACATCATCTATGGTCCTTTTCATCAGATATTGGTGGATTCCAAGGAGAGTCTAGTCCATTACACACTCACTGGCCAGTTTGACTATTTCCCAATTCCTAAAATCCAAAAGAAGACACAGAAAACTAAAAAAAAATAGTCTTTTTTTTTTTTTTTGTCAATAACCAATCAAAACTGCCCATGGTCTACTTCATCTAACCAGGATGCAGGACTGGCAGGAAAGTCTGGGTATCCTCCACTGCTGCCGGTGGACAGGTCCGAACTGGGGCCATTAGCGGCTCCCATAGAGACCCTCACCGCAGGGTTGATCCCAGCCGTGCCCCCCTGGGTCATGATCGACAGGGCAGAGTCAGGGTAGACCAGGCTGGAGATGAGAGGCTGGTGTCTTGGAAGTGCTTGCAGGGAACCCGGCGACTGAGGGAGGCCGTAGGGGCTGTTAGATCGGATGTCATGGAACTGGTCCTGAGAAGGGAGGGCGCCGTGCTCCAGAGGGAAGGAGCCGTGGTTGTTGCCCCCCTGGCGGCCCCCCCATGCCTGGAGAGGACTCGCTCAGGCTGCTGTAGATGCCGTTAGTGAGGCTGAGCTCGGACATTGGTGGTTCATCTGTTCAACAAGGACAAGAAGACAAAATTAGAACTTGTTATTCTGCTTGATTCACAATTTCTAAAACTGAAAATTACCTGATGAAGAAAAAGTAATTTCCTAGAAGTTGACTTTATTTGCACCAGATGATGTTAGAAAGTAAGGCTAAAGTGAGCAGTGCTAGGACCACAAGCCTTCTGTCCTCCTTACAGGTTGACGTCAACATGCCTGTGTTGAATGTGGTTATGCATTGCTCCAGTTAAGGGGTTACATTCCAGTTCAACTTGACAGCCTACACACATTTCTATCTTCATGTTCTAGATCAAATGCAGGCAAAACTGCTACATGTTAGAATTGCAATCTGTGCACTGTGCTGGTTTACATCTAAGCGATAGAGCAGGGGGAGAACGGACCCATGAACCAGAGCTACAGCCCCGGCTAGTGGCGGGGGGCTGCATTACAGCTTAGACACAACATTTAACTTAACACAACTGGTATAACCACATTAATTCTGGTGCCAAACAGTGAGGGTGCAACATGTCATCTCTAGAAAAAAATCATTTTGAACAAACTTGAAGAACCTTTTCTGTTAGCTCGCCAGCTAACATGCTGTGATGTGATCCCTGCTGGCTCACAGTCTGTTTAGGCTTACATTCACACTAGAATAGAACAACATCATTCATGCCTGTACTGTCTTCATATTGTGAGTTTGACTCTACCTGTAAAGGACACCTCAGCATCACTGTCCATGCCCTCCTCCTGGATACTGTCCTTGTCAGACTTGGAGCTACCTCGCGACCTCTTCATGTTGCGGAAGTACTGCCCCCACCTCTGCCGCCCGGCGTCTTTTTTCAGCCTTTTCTCTTTGGCTCGCCTGTTCTGGAACCAAACCTGGAGTGGGAAAAAACAAGATGTCATATTATTATCAAAATGTTTAGCATGCTACATTTTCCATCAGAAAAATAGGTCCCGAGTAAAATTTACTGTTTTAAAACACAAACAAATGATCTCTAAACCAATTAAATATAGATGCCAAATGTATGCAATCCTCTTTATTTTAAGGCTTAACCGTACAAATCATGCACCCCAGTCAAAGTCCTCTACATCCAACACCCTCTGCTCTTTCCTCGCAGAACAAAAAATCCCTTTAAGGCTTAAAACTAAATTAATTTTCAAGGACTGTCTGGACGCAACTTCCCTCCTCCTTGAGCCCAAGTATGAGACTCAAACTGTGACACTGACCTGTAATCCAGGGACCAGCGTCCCCTTGCACCTGATTTATCGCACACTTAATTAACTTCCCGACAGCTACAAGTTGTCCTCACCCCGGGGGAGCACACAGGTTAGCACGTTTCTGCTTTGAATTATTCAAATTTTCTCCACTAACTTTTGATGTAATCTATAAATTTGATCTTGCACTTCAGAAAACACAAACACAAAGAGGAGACATAAACAAAACCTGCCTGTATCCTCACTGCCTGCAAATATAAATAAATACACACCCTGTTTTTTTTTAAATAAATTTCATCATACACACAATATTAATTCATTTCCTACAAGCACCAAAAGCAGTTTTACATTCTCCTTAATGATATTCCGCCCTGAGTGAACCCTTTGCACCCCGTCCCTTTCTCTGAATAATGAGCCGCATTTTAGTGGCTTCCGTCTCTACTTTTGTCCTTGCAAATAAAACAATATATATGACCACCAGCACCCAGCTCCGGGTGTGAGACTCCTCAGCAGTAGACAATATGCGAGGGGCCCCTCTTAGCATTGTTAACGATCTCGCACTTAAACCGTGCTGACTTTCATGTGGACTTCATTTTACTCCATCTAGCCGTAAATTCCAACCCAACACACACACACCTCTTTGTACAGTGGGGCTCGTGCCAGTTCAGCCACAATTGTGTCTTTGATAATGCAGTCAGGACACTAATGGAATAGCTCTTAATGGATAATAATGTACTTTACCTGCACAACCCGCATATCCAGCCCCGTCTCTGATGAGAGCTGTTCCCTGACGTGGCGGGCGGGTTTGGGGGAGTTATTGTAAGCGTTCTTTAGCGTCTCAAGCTGTTTGGCTGTGATGGTTGTTCTCGGCCTTTTTGCAGTCGAGTCTGCCTCTGAAAAAAAAGGGAAGAAATAGTATGCAATGTAAGATAATGCTGCACAGGTATTCTGCTGAAATCTGAGGAAAAGTGGTTTTATCTTGCAGACATCATATCAGAAATAACTCATGAGACAATTAACATTTGAGATACACAGTGCAAGTCTTAAAATAATGACACAAAATCAATTTAACTTAATAAAAAAAAAGCCATAGACATGAGAGCACTTCCCCTGCTTATCACTAGGTCCTTGTGTTTTTGCTTAGTAACATGAAGCTCTGTGATAGAAACATAGTCATAGCAACTATTAGCATAAAACAGCCTTCATGATATACAACGTCCTAATCTCACATAAATGGATAACTTCCCCTCTGCCTATAAAAACTAAACTCTGGCATCCAGTGCATAATTGCATCATGTCGGCGCATCTGTTGGCAAGCACAGCAAAATACAAAACCATCATCCAAATGGATGCGGGTCCAAGTAATTGCGCCCTCTCATTAGCAAAATAAACGTGTGTGTTTTTAGTGAAAAGTTGCTGCATAAATCCACACTTGGTGGTTGTGGTGTGTGTGTGTGTGTGTGTGTGTGTGTGTGTGTGTGTGTGTGTGTGTGTGTGTGGGGGGGGGGCAGTAAATCCACACAAACAGATGGGGAGATAAAACTTGACCATGCACTGTCTGCCCCAGCAGGAGCAGAGCATGCTGGGATTTTTCTGTGAATTTAATGTGTTGTCTGTTGATATTATGAGGGCATCTAATGCTGTATAAAATGACACAACTATTTCAAGACAACGCACGTTAAAGTATCTGAAACGGCTGTAAATATTCTACTTTATTGTAATATGCATGCTTAAAGTGTTGAAGCCGATATGATTGTTCATTGGTTCCTGTCACTTTTACTATATTTTTTTAAATCATACTTTAGGCATACTTCAAGCATTATTATCAGCTTGTTCAAATATGTTGTTTGGAACGTCCTTACAAAGAAAAGTTGAAGCTTTCTTTACTTTCATATACAAATTGAAGCTGCAGAATAATCAACATGTTATTTTTTGGCTAGAAATGTTAAAAATTTTACAGTGTAAAGGAATCTTTTTTTAAATAGCCTTCTCTTTTAGTAAATAAAATTGTGTTTGTCTGACTCGTCCACTTCAGCGTTCTTTATCAAAGTCCAGTCTGTATTTTTTTTTAATTAAAATGTATGAACAACAATTTAAGGATTGCTCCTTTCATGTTACTTGCTGCTAAATTCATTTATTATACTTGAATAAAAGGAGGAAACTACAGAGTGGGAATCACTGCTGATGTATATATATATATTTTTTTAAACCATGGATTTTGAAATCATTATATCAGAAGAGCTCTTTAAGAATTAACATTATTAAACATTTATTTAAAGCAATACTTATATTTATATGACCAGATGACACACTGTCTTTTAACACCATAGTCTCTCCCTCTCTCTCTCAAACACACAAACAAATACACACCCTTCTATTTCTCTCTGTGTCTCTGCACACACACACACACACACACACACACACACACACACACACACACACATCTCCACGATAATAAAACCATATTGACGGCTGATTACTTCCAGCAGCAGAGTGCACATGTGTGAGCCTTTGGTCCTCCACTGTATACGCAGTGTGCTATCGATCGGGTTGCGGGAAAACGACGCAATTAGCGCAGGTAGGTCAAAGTTTATGGGTGACCTCATCGTCACGTCCAAATTAAAGCCCCTACTTAAAAACAAGTCTGCACAGAGCGCATCATATTTTACAGAATACGAGCTGCAAATGGCACCAAAATAAAAAAATAAAAACTCTAAAGAGATGTTTTTTTTTTTTTTATTCTTCTCACCTCGCTGCTTGGCGGTCTCGTAGTCGGCCTTACACACCAGCCTGCTGTCCTCCATCAGGTAATACTCGTCTCCCGTGGCCAGCTGCCTCTTGCACACGATGCAGGCGAAGCAGTGCAGGTGATAGACGAAGTCCTGCGCCCTCCTCACCACCTGTGTGGGCGGGATGCCCTGCTGACACGCTGCGCACTTGGTCCCGAATCTCCTTTTGGGAAATTAGACGGTTTCCATCAGTACATAATAACATTTTCAGACTCTTTACAGTCTTCACACGAATTCAGATCAAATATAATTGTTAAATGCCCTAAGTATTTGAAAGCTGCTCACTTGAAGAAGTCGTCCTTGCAGTACACGCTGTCTCCTCTGCTGAAGCATTTCTCCGCCAGCTGCGCCTGGCAGTCGCTGCACTTCAGACACTTGCTGTGCCAGTGACGGTCCAACACTTTGAGGATGAAACGGTCCACGATGTGCTGATTACAGCCCGCACACACCGGGATCTCTGCGGAAAGACCACCAGTTATTAGTGAGGTGAATCTATATAAGACGGACACACAACCGAGTTTGTTCAAAGTGCTAAAGAACTGTAAAAGACAATACTTTAACAATACTCTGTGGATCTGATTATGCAACTCGCACGCTATTAGCTGCACAAATAGACCTACAGCAATATGAGTAAATATGCTCATATGTTGTTTTATAATTAGCTTATATTATGCTGATATTATATTATTGTGTCTCATCGTTTTACCGTCTTATTTTTATATATTTTCTTACGGTGTATTTGATATGATTTCACCGTGAGACCATGTTTACAGTCACCACATGCACATCTTCAATAAAGTCATTGTTGTGTCTGATTCACAAATAACACAAGAGACATACAAATTGAATGTTGTTGAGAAATACATATTTTACATCTGATTGTAGGACCATAACATATAAAAAAAGAAAGCTAAAGCCAGAAACTGTCCACTTTTCATTTTGTATGAAAGAGATGCATTTTTGATGGAAACAGGAGGTTGGAAAAACATATTATTGAAGAAAAGATATTCAAAGCGATGTACAGTATTGCAGCTCAGCGCTGAAGGAGATCGTAGCAGATAAAGCCCAAAACAAACATATAATTAAAATAATATCCTAGTATCAATTGAAATATAAAATACCGTAAGAGACTAGAATAGTAGTGAATTGTCGATAGAAACGTGCACTGTAGGGTCGTTTGTTTGCCTTCAATGATAAAAATCATGATTACATAAAAGAGGAGTGTCCCATTATCTGGGCTCGAAACCCTCACGTAAGAATTATTTATAAGAGCGACTGTCCACATATTACACCTGAGTCAGTCAAATAACAAACATCTGTTAATGCTCATGTTCTACAGTCATGTATCCCTGAAGCTTTCCAATTTGTCCAATAAGATCAAAGAACACAGATACTTTAAAAAAAAAAAAAAAACCGATTGACCCAACCACCGAATGGCTGATATAAATATTTCGGTTATACAATAAAATAATAATCGTACAGTCCTTTGTAGAGAATACCAAGTGCAAGAAGTTGGACTTTAAAGGAACTCGAAAAGAAGCTCTTGAGCCTATTTTAAATTCGTTTATAAAATGTAAACATGACGACACTCATTGACAATGAAAGTATTCAGATGATGAAAAGATGTGAACTATTATAATAATAAAACAAGTTTTAATTTGAAAGTCATGTATTCCTACAATCTTGGAAGATCATTAGAGATAAATATATATCAAAGTTAAAACTGTAGCAACAAACAGACAACCAAAGTATCCGAATAATGAATTATCTTGGTATATATTTATTTATATTTTATGTTTAAATAGTACTGGAACAAAAACATGTAGAGAATAAATCAAACCCTGAAAACACACGTTTGATGATTCAAAGAATAAAAAAAGAGTGATCCACTTCAAATTCATAAAAGAGATGACTTTACTGCATCATCACTAATCGAATATTAGTCGACTAGTTATTATTATGGCATCACTTTAACAAGCAGCAACCACTTTTATCCAATCTCATAGGCTGTTAAAAATGTTAAAATATCCCTCAAAGCTACAACAGTAAGTCCTAATCCTGTCGATGAGAAATTCTGTGTAAAAACAAACAAACAAAATAAAATTAAGGACAACTAAAAACGTCAGGTAAGAAGCTATCAGGCCTCTTTATTACTAATTAAAGGAGGCCCAACCACTTCATATTCCATCCGCGCAAGGAATCGCGTTCCTTTTGTTCTGCTGTGGACGAACCATGAATCATTAAAGAACATTTTCTTCTTGCATCACCGGCACAAGTGTGGTGGGCCCCGCCGCGCCGGGAACAGGTGTATACAGGTCATCATTAATTCAACGCGCTCTGTAAAACTAGAGAGCTGCGGCCTATTAGTCTCACGGTACAAACCAATGAGGTGTCCGTAGCTGTTCACTCACATCATGATCCACACTGGGAATATAATACAAAAAAAAAAAAAAGACTACCATTTCCAAAAACAGGCCTCTTGCGTATTTGGTACAGGTGAGGTCTGGTGCATGATTTGTTGTATGTTTAGTCCTCTTACAGTGCAATGTGGACGGTGTATACTATTTGTGAATAAAAGTGGAAGTAGCTCACATATGATGAATATTAAAAACAAAAGTATTTTGACAAAAATAGAAAGGGTTAACGTGTAGCTCAGAATGCACTGCCACCTTTCTGATTTACCATTAAAAAAACAATGCACTGAACATAATATAGCCTGCTATAAAAGTTGAACGACCACAAGCTGAATCAAAACGTGTGAAGCCTGATGCGTAAAAGTTGCGTTATTGCCGAGAAGTGGAGCAACAGCAAAAAGATATAGCTCACGTGTTGTCTGGGTAAGGGCCTGTAAAATCTGCCAAATTTAAACGACTGCATAGTTGTAGCATCAATCATCCATACTCTGGTTATTACAGCGCCCCCCCCCTTTCCAACACACACACACACACCCCTAAAACATCATCAAAAGACTGCAATCAATCCCACAGCCACACACAGTAAGGTCACAAAAATGTAAAATATCAACAGTGCAAAAACGAATAAATCAATAGGCTTCAGGTTACCTTTCCGTAGCTCCTCACTGTGAGACAGCAGAGCGAGAAGCATCTCCGTGTTATTTGGAGCCTCTTTTGGACCACCGCGCTCACCGTTTCCATCCATTGCTCATGGTTTCACCCCCCCCCCCCCCCTCCTCCCTCACATTAATGCAAAATCTGGCTGTTTTTTCTAAATCAATCAAAACTAAAGCAGGTGTTGTTGAATTTGTGTAGCAGAGTGTGCAGTAGTGGTGGTGGTTGGTGGTGGAGGAGTTCTGGTCTGTATACTGTGCTGGAGCCTGTGCAGGATTACGCTGCGCCGTTTCCTGGGCGACAGGCAGATAGATTAACATCACCAACCGAGCGACGAGCGAACCCGGAAGAAGACGGACAAGGGCTTGAGAGAGGGGAGGCCAATAGAGTTTCAGTGTGGTTTGATAAGCAAACGGTGGCCTTTTTACGGTGTAGCTTATTGGAAAATATCAAGATACAGGCTATATATATGTTTTTGATTTTCCTTACATCCTCTTTTATACGATTGAGCCAGAAAACAAATTTCAGCCAACGCTGAAATCATTTCGTTTTTTATTTCTTACTGTGTTAAGAATGGGAATATTTCCTTCTTTTGATTTCTTTTGAGTTTTTTCATTACAGTAAAAAATAAATCGTGGCTACTTTTTCTTTCTCATCCATTTGACAGTTGGTACAAATGGCATTATGAGAAATATGTTCAAGGCAAATATTTCATATTTCACATAACTAGTTGGACACCCTGCTCTGTCGAGTAATGGAGTCATATTCTCTACTTTCTGCTCAGCAAGGCAAGCTTTTAAGCGCGATATAATTATTCCAAATAGTTGGAGATATATATAAAATCGAAAAAAAAAAGAATCAATGAGCAGAATAAAAAAATACTTCAAACAGACTTTAAAAAAATATTAAATTCAATAAAAAAAACAAGCCTGAACAGCATTTTTTGTTGATTTATCTTCTAAATCGACCAATGTGCTTCTCTCAAGAGAAACATCCCTTTTCACGATTTAAAATCCAGAACTGTTTTGCTTAAAAACGTGAGAGAATATTGGGGTATTACCTTGGAGTGCCTATTCATTAAATTACTGTATTTTTATGGTAAAAAAAGCCATCTTATATTTGAATGATCAACCTTGAAATGGACGGCACATTTCTGCTCATATAATCGAATAATTATTTTATATTACAAACAGGTTGCAAACTTGAAAAAGGCAAAACTAAAGTTTTTGTTTGGAGTTATAGTCGCCTAATATTAATAAATAAAGCATATATTTGTATTAATTCATATACTTGTTTAGGATCTTTGTGTTTGTCATTCTTTGTGTCCAAACAACAGGTTTTAAATGAGTGATTTTAAATATCACACACACACACACACAATCTTGAGCTCTCGCGTTGAGTGCTCAAAGACAAGTGTTTATTTAGGAGAGAGATTGGCTGTTCAATAACATGTTGATCGGGCCAACACCCCAATGAATTTTATTGACACTGATCTTTGGCACAAAAGAGCGCCTGGGGAAATCACGGGGAGTGCCACCAGCCGCGCCGCTGATGAATCTAAAATCAATGTCCTATTTTGCTTGGATTTCCACAAGTGTATGAAAGATATATATATATATTTTTTTTTTTGGAGAAAGCTGTGGGGTTCATGGGTGCTGCTGTTACTTTTCAGCTTTGTAATAATTTTGATGTCGTATTGATCGCTCACTTTTGAGGGGGGTTGATCCCGGCAGTAATGAGATAACAAAGCGATAAGATGACCATCAGAGGAACATTGAATAGACTCAGACATATCAGAATAAATGTTCTTTTTTAAGCCCCAATTTATATTTTTCGGCCTATGCATTTTTTTTTTGTAAAAATCGCCTGTTTCTAATGTGTGTGTGTGTATTTACTCTCCACGAATGCCTGATTTATTCAAATTAAGTGGAAAAATGTGTGTTGATCCAAAAAACGACGTGACCAAAACTTCTTATCGAGTCTCCATCACAACCTGCACTTCAACCTCAGGTGTCCCACCTGTCAGGGCAGGAATGTGACACCTGTGGAGCACTTTTTGAGTCGGCGGGCAGCGAGGGGGGATGGGAGCAGCTCTTTGGCCTGCCGACAGTCTGTCGTGCAGACACACGCACAAGGAGGGGAACCCCACACTTTGTGGTGCTCTCCGTGTCCGCTCCCGTTACAACCGCGGGCGGCGGCGGTGTGAAATGACAGCACACGCATAACATCTGTTCGAGTGATTCTCCAACAATGAAGGCTCATTACGGATTCATAACGTCCACCGCACGCAACAACGCAGGAGAAGCGCCTCTAAAACAGGGCTGTATACAAGGGAAGGGGGCTGGCGAATAATGGAGGCGTTCCTGCAACTGTTGCATCTTTTATTTTGAATTTCCGAAGATGGAGATGGTGTGAATTTTAACCGCAAATTATGGAACACAACATACACAGTAGGCTGTGTGTCCTCTATTTTAAGAAGGCTGGTTGCTTCTTGGGAAAAAAAAGCAAAAAAAAAAAAAAAAAGCAATGAACAACAGTGAACAAGCTCCATTTCACGCTTGTCACAGTTAACAAGAAAAGCCTTGAGTCCTGCTGTGCTGATTCGCTGTCTCATTAAATACCTCCATTTCACGCTTGATTTTCAGGCATTAACAAACCCGCAGGACATCGATTCAAACAAAAAGCAAAGCCAAGAACAACAGTGCAACAAGAAATTGGAAATAGTAAACTCTTACCTGGGCCCGAACTGTAGCGGGAGAAATTTCCGGTGTTTTGACAGCTTGACCCCGGGTGTTCAAGCAACATTTTGAAAGCTTGTTTTTCGATGCTCCCAGAAGCACGAAAGACGAGCGCCTTCAGATTCTTAAAAAAAAAAAAAAAAAAATCAGGTCTTAACGAGCTTTTGGAAGATGGACTCAAAGCGGAACTTTTCCTGGAGCTTTTTTTTTTTTTTATCCTCTTGCCAGTGTTGAAAAAATAAGAAAAAGAAGACCCGGACACTTTTCTCCTTTCGTTGACCACCGAGGAGGAAAACGTTGTATATGCATCAAGTTGCTCTTTTGATTCCGTGTTGTTGAACTCGACGTGCTGTTGAAAAAATGGTGTGACCAAAGTGTGCGTCAAACCGAAGTGATCTGCGGTCATCAGCGCTGCCTCTGTCCAGGGTGCTGAAGGGGGAGTTTCTCTAAACGGGGCAGGAGGCGTGTGTGTGCTGCCTCTTTGCATGCACACACACACACACACACACACACCCTCCCCTCTTTCTGGTTATCTCTGTTGTGGTGCACGTGTCTGTCTTTCAAGACGCACAATAGGGCAATTGGACATTGCTCAAGACATTGTTGTCGTGCGTTTCCATCGCTGCGTCTCTCTTTTGTTTGGTTAAAAATAGACCGCATCGCATTAATGATACAACAAGTGGACATACCGTTATGTTAGCTCAAATGAAGCTACTAGTGAACAATGCTAAAAACAGAAAAGTGCGTGCACATCCTTTACAAGTTTCAAACGCAAAAAAACACAGGCTCCATCTTTTCAGCCTTTTATGTACCACTCACCACTGTCCTATTGTCTCATACATGTTGTACGTGTTAGTTTCTGTTTATTGTTTATTATTTAATGTTATGGTTTACTTTTGTTAAGTGAACAGTCTATCGAAGTCAAATTCCTTGAAGCCTATGAGAAAATAAAGCGGATTCTGCTACATAAAGGGCATTGTGAGAACAGTGGTTTTGAAAAAAAGTGAGTGAAATACTATTTAATAAAGAACAGCTAAAAGCAAAAAAAGCTTAAATTGTTCACTTGCATCAGTCTTTCAAAAAAAAAAAAAAAAGTTATTCCTTCCGGTCAAAATTCAAGAGAAACGCGAACACGTTTAAAATAAAAATATCGATGTTAACAAGTTTTAACGAGCAGAAAACTTACTTAAATCTAAACGAATGAAAAAAAAACGGCATTTAAACTGTTTATTCATACATAGATGTTCATTTTTGTTTCTTCACTATCATTAACAGCAATAATGACGAGCAGTTTTTAACGTCCTACTGTCACGTATCTTTATCAGGAAGTAGTGCCACTTGCATATTTAAAATACGGACATTATTTCTTAAAAATGACAAAGTTCATTATTTTTCCAAATGCATAACAGTTTATGTATTTCACAAGTAGCGTCTGTTTTTCTTCCTTACAAATTGTTGCGAAGTTCCTGTAAAAATGTCAAGCCAAAAACGAGCGCATGCGCAGAGTTGCCCGTCTTTTTGGCCGGGTGCCATGCCTCATTCCTTTGAGCCTGTGCCAATTAACCACCACAACAGTCCAAAACTACTCTGACGTAGTGCTACAGCTTTGATTCAATTTTACTCGCCCAGCACGCCAGCCTTCAAGTGGTGTAAGCCAATTAGACCTATGCTGTTCATTAGTCCACTCAGGGCAATTAGCTTGCCAAAGTTGGAAATAAATTTTCTTCTTTCTTTACTCATCATCCCTCACTGACTTTAACTCCTGTCATTATATTCACATGTCAAGATTTAAAAAAAAAAAAAGGAAAAGGAAAAACTGTATACAGCAGTTGTTTGTTTTTTATGATTGAGAAGCAAGTTTTTGTGTTCTAATCGGCTGTAATCTCTGGTCGACAAGTCAGTATGGATCTTTGTGGAGATTAAGGGAGAAACTGTTGGTAAATCTGGAAGAAGCCGTACACAGTAACCTTAAGCCAAGGCAGCATCAAAGGAGCTTAGAGTGCAAGCACAACAACAGGCCTGCTTTCCTTTTTTCTTTCATGCACTTGAAGAGGGGAGAGTCTTTGCTGGCTTGCCTTTGGTGTTTTATTGTAACAGTGTGCACAGTGAAGAATCAAATGTAGGATCTTTCATGACCCTGCTACCAGCGTATGTGAAACACAGTTATTTTTGATGTTTTATTAAGATAAATGGTTGCTTAAATCCCTAAATGAATGTACGTTTAAGGTGGACATTTTTGTTGGAGAATCAGAAACATAAAAAGCCTCTGGTGTCATGACCACATTTATAGACACTTTCTTTTCATCTATAAATCCTCGGCTTCCAGTCATGAATACGTTGATGAGCAAACCTC